CACATTTGACTAACAGAATTTTGTTGGCCAGTTTAAACGATGGGAACGATATAATTATTGTGAATGTAAAAAATACAAAGTTAAAAGAATGATTAAATGAATATTGTTCAAAGCACTTGTTTCTTGTATGTTTTTCTTTATTTTATTCTTATGGTAACATGTGGGGTTTTTTTGTTTGTTTTTTCTCTTAGCACCATGGTTCATGGACACTCACAGCCACTTCATTAGGTATACCAGTTAAGTTGTTTAACACAAATCAGCCAATCACGTGGCAGCAACTTGGTCCTGTGAAGGTGATAATATTTACTGAATTTAAATGGGCTCCACAGTCGGAAGGTAGACTCATAATCTGCTAAAACAGGGGTGGGGAACTCCAGGCCTCAAGGGCCGGTGTCCTGCAGGTTTTAGATATCACCCTGGGTTAACCCACGTGAATTAAATAATTAGTTCATTACCAGGCCTCTGGAGAACTTCAAGACATGTCCTGCAGGACACCGGCCCTCGAGGCCTGGAGTTCCCCTGTGCTAAAATTGCTGTTGGAAAATATATAACAAGCCCTTTTTATGATGTGACGGTGATGGTGAATAATTTGTTTAGCACTAGGGGAAAAAAACACTTTAACCAAAGCTACATAAGCATGAAAGCATGAACAGTCTGATGTGTTACACCAAATGCGAAGCAAAGCTTGGCCTCGTGTTGCCCATGTGAATACAGTCACACTGGAAAGCCCCAAATATTTGCCACTAACAACAAATAGGATGAGAAAGAGTCCAATGTTATTCCAACTGGACATTTAGTATGACATGAACATTTAATATGTGACCTATGATTATTCTTTCAAATCATGCTGACCAAAAAGCACCGGCCACCCACAAACAGAATCAAACAACTGCTCCTGATGGGTTTCCAGGACACGGCGTGAAGCAAATTTTTGGCCAAAGATGAAGCATAAAATGAGCACGAATTTGGCTCCTCTGGAGTCAATAAACTCAGTTTAACTCAACCACAACTACAATAAGTACCTTTAAGGTTCTTAAATGCAGAAATCATAGGAGCCTCATGCCGTGTGTGACTGGTGGGAACTGTGCAGGACACTTGTGTTTTTATATTGCTGTAGTCAGAAGGTGACATTTCCCAGCAGACGAAACATTACAGTGAATTAAACATGAAAAGACTTTGAGTAAACCAATGACTCAGTGCGGCTCATGCTGGAGCTGAAGTTCAGTTCCGGTTCATTCAGACCCTGTTCTTTGTCTACCTTGCCCCCATCCCTAAAACCAAACACTCACAGGGAAACTGCAAACTCACATTTTGACTGTCGTGCTTGAATTTCTCTGAAATTTCTAAACCGTCACTTGCTGCCAAAACACAGTGGAAAGCGGGAAGTGGAAGGAATTCTTCTGTTAGTCATGACTGAAGACCCTCTTTGTAATCTGTGTAAAGATAATTAATCTTTTTAAATGACTGGAAAAGTAGAGATTAGGTTATGAGAAATACATCATCATGCAACACATCATTTTCCACAGATTTCGCCCTCACAGTCACTCAGACCTTAGAAGGGCTCTTTGTATGGACTGAGAAGTGTGCGTGTCTGTGTGTGTGTACACTGGGTGAAATAATTATTTGATCCTCTGCTTAATTTGTAAGTTTGCTCACACACAAAGAAATTAGCTGCCTCCAATTTTAAAGGAGAGAAACAGAATATCAACAAAAATCCAGAAAAACACACATAACATAAAAGTTTCATCTCCTACAAATGACCATCAATCACACTCAGTCTTGGACTCCAAGCAAGATCTTGTCTCGTGGTGGATAACAGAAGAAGTGACAGACCTCAAAGCTATCTACAGCAGGTGACCAGAATCTGAAAGTCATGTCCTTAAGAACTAGGGGAAAAAAATCCAGCAAACACCTGAGAGGTGCAGCTGCCCCTTCAGCTGATTCATCTGCTGTTCACTGAAGACTCATCAGAAATGGTTTCAGTGGAAGGGTGGCTGTCAAGAAGCCATTCTTTATGAAGGAAATGGGTAAAAGAGGATGAGGTATGCCACACTGCACAAGAACTGTACTGAACACTAGTTCCAGCAGGTGTAATGGAGGGATGAATCCGATGAGGAAGTTTGGATTGATTCTGTTTGTTGGCTCTGATTCACTCCCTCTGACTGATGTTTTTCTAAAAGGTCAGTTCCCAGTAAAAGCAGCAGAGTGGGTGAGGCGTGTCCCAACTGGCAGCTGAGTCCTAGTTATGAGAACACACAGCTTCCTGTGTGTGGTCCACCTGGCTCTCACAGTCATTACTATATAAATGGATCTGCAGAGTGAGTGTGTGAATGGAGCACAGCTCCACAGAGTAACCTGACACTAACTTTCTTCTTCTCTCTGATATTTTGCGCACTGATTCTTCAAAAAAAACCTGAACCTTGCTTCATATGCTTTTCAGCCACCTGTTAGCTGATGCTCATTGCCTCAAAGGAAGAAGATCATGATCACATGGTTGCTACTGTTTTCACTCTTCAGACAAAGCACGCAAGATGGACAAGGAGAGGGTAAGTATGTCGTCCTCTGTAATAGTCTTCAGGTATGAAAAGGATTGGATATTTTTAGTAAAGAAGATTTCAGATTTCAGCTCTTAGTTGTGTATACACCTGAGTTTGCACAAAGAATCTTTACTATGTATGCTAAAAGCCAAAGACATGCAGTGGAGCTCCAGGTTATGTTGACTTTGCACTCACCAGAGTTTTCAGGAAGCATTAGCCACTGAGATGCAGAATCAAGGCATAAGTAGTGTCTGTAATTTCCCCTTTGTAACAACTGCACAGGGGGTGATTTTTTAATTGATAATTCGTTTTTTATAACCAACCCATTTAAATGTTTTATAAAGGTTTAAAGTTTGCATTTTCAACATCGTTTTGACTAGCAGATGGGCACAGACCTCATTGCGAGCTATCTGTTGGTCTTTAGCTTCGATAATTGTGGACCTCTTGTTGGTGGGTTTGGGGTTTTTTTGTAACTCAAATATCTGACAAAAAATATAAAATGCTGTGTGGCTAATTTTACTAACAGGCCCCATGAAGTCTGCTTCAGCTTTTTTGAGCAAAATTCTAGGATATTATTATTATTATTACTATTGTGGACACAAATGGTCACATCTTCAGTTCACCTCACAACTTTACAGTGGGATTCCCAAAAAGTTGATCCTGTTCATCTGGATGTATCGTTTCATTACTCATCCAAGTGACTTCTTCGGGCTTCAATCCAGATAAACAAAATCAACTTTTTGGGATTTCCTTACCTGGAAGAGTAAGCTTGCATCAAGACTTGCTTGATGGATTTTTCTTCTTTGCTTTTTTGCTTTTAATCTTTAGATATCTTCATGGGAGTCTTTTCTGTATGAGAAGGACAGTGTTCTCGAGCTGTAACCTCCTTCTTCTTTCTCCAAACATAAGCAGCATTTCTTTTGCGCAACATCTCTAAAATGAGAAATATCCTGTCTCAGAGTGATGCTGAAAAACTAGTTCATGCATGTATTACTTCCAGGCTGGACTACTGTAATTCATTATTAACAGGAAGTCCTAAAAACTCCCTGAAAAGCCTTCAGCTAATTCAAAATGCTGCAGCAAGAGTACTGACAGGGACTAGAAAGAGAGAGCATATTTCTCCTGTATTGGCTTCCCCTTTTTGGCTCCCTGTTAAATCCAGAATTGAATTCAAAATCCTGCTCCTCACAGACAAGGTCTTAAATAATCAGGCCCTTCGCTCTCACACTGCAGGCTTGTTGTTCCTAGAGTATTTAAAAGTAGAATGGGAGGCAGAGCCTTCAGTTTTCAGGCTCCTCTTCTGTGGAACCAGCTTTCAATTTGGATTCAGGAGACAGACACTATCTCTACTTTTAAGATCAGGCTTAAAACTTTCCTTTTTGCTAAAGCATATAGTTAGGGCTGGACCAGGTGACCCTGAATCCTCCCTTAGTTATGCTGCAATAGACGAAGGCTGATGGGGGATTCCCATGATACATTGCATATTTCTTCTTCAGTCACCTTGCTTACTCAATATGTATTAACAGACCTCTCTGCATTGAATCAGACTTGTTATTAATCTCTGGCTCTCTTCCACAGCATGTCTTTATCCTGTCTTCCTTCTCTCACCCCAAACAGTCTGGGTTTTTCTCTGTATGTACTATTGTAGGGTCTACCTTACAATATAAAGCACCTTGAGGCAACTGTTGTTGTGATTTGGCGTTGTATAAATAAAACTGAATATAATTGAATTGAATTTAGCCAAAGAGATCTCATTTTGTCATATCTACTAATGGACATACTTCTATTATGCGTAATTTTCTCCACGTGTCCTTAGCATACTTATGTCTGGCTTGAAGGCCTCTCTGCAGAAGAGAAGCTTTTCTTGGTCTTTCTCTGAGTCTTTGAAATCTTTTACCTCCTGCCTCTGGCAGACTTGTGCTGCAGTGTCTCTCTCTCCTCTATTTTTCAATGATACATCTCATTCCAGTTTTGACCTTTGGACATGCTGTGATAACTTTGTACACCAGTGCCTGCTTTGTAAACTTTAACAATGTATTTTTTTCTCAAATGTAAACTGATTTTATTTTGTTTATTACAGGGGTTTACAGAGGCCAAAACTCTTTTGTATCAGGTTGTGAACATGTTTATTTCTGCTCTAAAGTTGGATATTTTACCATGGGAGTTGATGGGTATAACTACATTACAGGACATTGCACATGACGGGATCACCACAATTTTCTGCCTCATAGCTTGATGCTCAACACTGGCTAACACAACATGCACTTCAAATACGATATCCAATTTTTTGTTGGTGGCTCATTGTTTGAATTCGAGAACTGAAGTAGTGTTTGAACCTGAAAATGTCTAATGACATCAGCTCTAAGAAGTGGATTGCTATAGTAGGTTCATTCATCCACCAGCACAGATAGATATGACAGTCTTTAATAAAACATCAGTATTTGATGCCCGGGCAGTGACGACACTATTGGCACCACTGGCTGTGTCCTCACTGACTGCTGTTCAAATAGCCCAACGATGACTGTGAAGAATTGTTCAGGTCACTTTAACCATAAAATGTCCTGTGGTCACTTCCTTTAGGTGTTTTGCGTTGTGGACCTCAGAATGTGACTCTTGACTACGACAGTTTCCTGTTAAAGTGGGAAGATGACCCTTCTTGCTCTGTGATACGAGATGGGCTCGTGTACGAGCTGCAGCTTCTCATTGCAGACAAACCTGAACACAATGTAAGAGATTATTATGGGTAACTATAATCCTCACTTCTGTAGCCTCCAAACAAAAAGCTGTTCCTCTAATGTGTTTATGATAATGTTGTAGGGTGAAGTTGTTGTGGCACCTGCAGAGATAGGATCTACTCATTCCTGGAAATGGACTTCCCATTTACCATCGCAGTGTGCTCGCCATTCAGTCCGGCTCAGGTCCCAATACAACAACCAATCAAGCCCATGGATGCAGAAGACACTACCTGGTTAATATTAAGTTCAAATCATTTGATCTTTTTTGATTCTTAAACACTTTACAGTCTCGTTTATTCTTATCACTGTGCTTCTTCAGACCAGGGTGAAATACTGGTTCTCCCAAGAGACCAAATATTGGAGGTGGGCAGCACAGCCACATTCTGCTGCATGGTGCCAGATGGGGAAAGTATTAAAACAATGTTTCTATATGACTACAAAGGCACTAATGTAACAACTACAAAGATCAGTGAACATGTGCACTCCCTGACTGTTCACCTGGACCAAGAATCAGAAAACTATAGTGATGTAATATGTGACACAACCAAAGGAAACATCAACGGAGCCAGTTTTCACGCCAGCTGTAAGTATGATGTAGCATTTGAGATTGTGGTTTCTCAAATTGATCTTGTAAATAAATGGTTCTCTTTTAAATGTGCTTCTGTTTTTCCTGGTATTTGCCACAAACTTAGATCCTCCTGATGACAGTGATCTTAAGTGTGAAACCCGGGATCTGGAATCAATCGATTGTTTTTGGAACGTAGGAAGGGCAGCAAACGAACATCCTGCAATGGAAAGAACATATCAGCTCCAAGGAAGGTATAATAAGACCCAACCACCCCTAATATATCTACAGTCTCCTGTATGGAAGCATCTGAGGGTGTGAATCTTAAAATAAGACACCTCACTGGACACCTTGTTAAAAACCACTGCAGACCGTTTCAGATTCAGAAGAACAAAAAGTTGATGAACAGTACTTTTAGATGATCTCGATGATCTGTAGTCAGAAGTTACAAAAATGAGCACTTGCTATACAACTTCAGTTGCAGGATGATTTATTGGGGAAAAAAAAACCTGAAAAAATAATAGTCAGAAAGCAAAGTGCTCTACTGCGAGAGCATGCAGACTCCAGTGCTATCACAGACAGACAGGCTGCCCTGTTTACTACTTTTAGTTAGAGTGAAAATCTACAACATATCAGGCCTTGTCAAAACATTCCCTTTTAAAGTGCGCCACTCTCCTTTGTAAAATCCATGCATATCCAAGTATAAGCCACACACACACGCAGAGATGGTTAACACATTATTTGAAAACTAAAATAAAGTGCCCAGAATAAACATAGTCCAAAAAACAAATTGATTAATTATGGGATAAACAGTAGTTATGCTTCTCACAGTATGTAATGCCATATAGGTCAAAAGTCAAAGTGAGTTTACAAAGAGAACGTCCTTGATGAAATCACAGTGGAGTTGTTTTCAGGGCTATTCTTCTTTAATTTCACTTTATATGATTTGCAGTGAAAACTGCACACATTACACCTCGTCACCAGAGTTCTTAAAAAACCCAAAAACCTGAATATTTATAAAAGTAGTTTCAAGCAGTTGAGAGAAATGCTCTGATTTAAAAGACCATCAAAGCAAAAACATTTTGGGATCTATAGACTAAACTTTAAAGCACCAAACATTATTGATTAAGCAATAAGGAGTTCAGTCAATGACAAATTTAAAACGTACTCTTACTTTGCTTCCTAGTGAATGTGCAGTCCTGCTAGCCTCTGTATTTATTTAGTTGTAAATATTTAGTAATAGCGGTGTATATTTTTTACATTTTAGCTCATGCATCAATGGACGTTCAGGTAAATGCTCGCAAAAAGTAAAGCTGGATGCAGCTGAGAGGAACTGGACCTTAACAGCAACTAATCGGCTGGGAAAGCTCGAGATCCATGACAACGCGGACCTGACCAAAAGAGGTAAAGCTTTGAATAAAATTTCGTTAAAATGATTATTTTTAATCTTTAAGATCAGCTGATTGTTGTGATCTCTTGTTTTAGTGCACCTGGTTGCTCCAGACAAAGTGGCAGCTTCAACTGTGAACCCCAGAAACATCAGTCTGAAATGGAGCTGGACTGTGCAGAAGTACAGTAATCTCAACATCACATGCCAAGTACATGTCAGTGATGGAAACTCTAATACCAAAGTGAGTAGATTAAAAAGGAGGCTAAGGTATTGGCTTTTCAAAGTAAAAGTCTTCACTGAAGTCAGCTAACATAATTTTTGTCCTTGTAGACTGAAAACATTGGAGTTGGCCTCACAGCTGCAGTCATCAAGGACTTGATACCACACTGGGACTATGTTGTGAGGGTCCGATGTGGAACAGCACAGCATTTCTGGAAATGGGGTGACTGGAGCAAAAGTGTCAAAATCTGCACGAAGGGTGATGGTAAGTATTTTCTTTAAAAATCATAGGGTTTTAAATAAAACTGTATGATGAGATACAGATGAGTCAAATCTTTTATACAGTCTGAGTAAAGTCAGGTCATATGAAAGTAAGAAAAAGTTGCTGCTTCTCAACTGATGTGACTTCAGTAAACATTTACCTGATGAGCTTTTGGTCTCAGTTGATTGATTAAAGTCTCTTACTGAAGTAAATGTGGTGCTCATTTTGTAAATCATGGTCCCACTGGAGTCATAAAAACACAGCAATCTATCTTTTGATTGATTATGAACATTTCTAGAAGAAAAATATTTAATCTGCAAGGTTTGACTCCTGATTTTGTTTCTCTACACAGAAAGATTAGCTGGTTGCCTGAAGATCATAAAGATGTGTTTATGTTTTAATATTGGTGGTCACTCTGTCTTGATACAGTTGCTCTTGGAGCTACCAGCCTGATTGAAAAGAACCTGAACATCAGTTCGTACACCTTCATGATAAACGCACAAACAGCAGTTTCATCCAACACCGTTACTTTGAATCCATCGAGTAGGTTACTTTTTTCATCTTGAAGACTGTTTTCTTTAATTAGACTGTCAACTGTATCATTTTCTTTGATTTACTCGATGCGTTTCATTATTTTCACCAGCTTACTTGACAGTGCTGACCTTGATAGCCCTGGGAGCAGTTTTTATTATTCTGTCCATCTGCACAATCCTCTGCTACAGACACCGGGTGTGGTAAGCAGTGCACATTTGCCTCTTTTGTCTCCAAATCTTTGTTTGGCATTTATTTTCATGCATTCTATCACCCAACAGCATCAAGCACAAAGAGAGCATTCGGCTAAACATGTCAGTTGTGGTCCGATTTGGGAGGGAACCACAAACTACAGAATCCAGCATTGTTTAGGCAACGTCACGCACCGATTCAATATTAATTTTAGTGACCCCATATTGACATATCTGTAAGAGAATCAGGATATCTGTCGGGGAACTGTTGTTTCTTTTGTTAGCTGATATTTCTTGTGTGTTTCAGGTCAGTTTATGGATGCAACGAGGAGTGCAATAAATTACTTTCTGTCTGGCTGCTTAATGCTACCTCTATACTCCACACAACTGTACTACTCAGTTCTTTATTAGTTTCCCTGTATATTGCATTATCATGAGGTCATTTTCTCTGTTTTTCAGAATGAACATGTGTTTGATCATCATCACTTTGGTCAGAGTCACTACAGCGAGGTCATGGATGTTCCTGAACTGCATGATAATTTCTGACCACTAGAGCCTGTTGGTAGCCAGGACCTGATGTGTTGTACCTTCTCTCCATCTTCCAAAGATGACTACAATAGGCTTCTGCAGAAACCCCGCCATGCCCCACTTTACCCACAGAGGAGTAACCACACAGTCCCATTTCCTGTGTGTCCACATACATTTTATTACTACCAAGACATCTGCATAGCTGCTAGATGTGTGAACACATTTAAACTTTACACAGGAACTTTAGACATCATTAACTACAACAGGGGTGGGCAACTCCAGGCCTCGAGGGCCGGTGTCCCTGCAGGTTTTAGATGTGTCCTTGGACCAACACAGCTGATTTAAATGGCTAAATTAGCTCCTGCAGTTCTCCAGAGGCCTGGTAACAAACTAATCATGTGATTCAGGTGTGTTGACCCAAGGTGAGATCTAAAACCTGCAGGACACTGGCCCTCGGGGCCTGGAATTGCCCACCCCTGAACTACAACATAGTTAATCAACTTCATTATCGTCTTCGGCTAGGGTTAGGGCTGGGTTTTGCTTCAGTCACATGAGCCAGTCACTGGCTCTCTTTTACAGCATGTCTTTGAGCTGTCTTCCTATCCTCACCCCAACAGATTGTGACAGATGATTGCCCCTCCTTGAGCCTGGTTCTGCTGGAGGTTTCTTCCTGTTAAAAGGGAGTTTTTTATTTCCATTGTTGCTCAAAGGGGGTTGTCTGATTGTTGGGGTTCTCTTATTACTGTAGGGTCTTTACCTTACAATGTACTGGGCCTTGAGGCAGCTGTTCTGATTTGGCTCCATATAAATAAAATTGAATTTATTGATTAGATAGTTTGTATTCTTTAAATTTGTTTTTATTGTTACCTATTTATTGGTTTTATTGTTATGTATTATAAATGCTGCTACCAAGAGCTGCTTCTAACAGCTGATGCTCAATGACAATAAAGGTTTCTGATTCTGAACTGAATTGATTTGTACCTTCTGAGGACCAAAGAGGCACATACTTGTTCAAAACCTGTAAAAGGTATACATTAGCACCCGTTCTTTTATTTGTTTAGGTGCAAAATCAAAAGGTTGTACGTGGTTAAACAGACTGTTGCGACCAGCTGTTGCTCCCGATCCTTTGATTCTGACCTGGTAAGACACGAGACAGAATACTTCACTTCCCATGTTCCTCCTTATTTACACATGCGCATGTGGAGATGTGCACAGTGCTCCTGCAGATCTGAAGGACGCTCCTTCAGTCTGTTACATTTATACTCTAAGCCCACAATAAATTTAGAACACCTTTGACCTGACCCCCACATGTGACTATATCACTGAATCCATACACACTATCCTATGACCGTTGGTATGTGCAGCTGTCTTGTCTCTTACCTACATATATCCTGGCTCCACATTCCTCCTGCTATTCTCAGAAATGAAAAATGTCACATTGCCCTGTTTATTTCCCTGTTTCCTGCTTAAGGCCAGGTCAGAAAGCGGTCACAGTGCAGATACATATGGACACATTCTGGCGCCTCTCTTCCTATGTTGTCTATCCCCACAGTTTCACATGAGCCATAGTTTCACATGATTTTCCCCCTTGCTCAAACTATTCATACTTTATTATTCAACTGCATCTCTGCAGACAGAGGCCTCTCTTTTTAAAAAAAAATCATGCAAGCCCTACGTATTATCCACACAGAAAAGGAAAAATTTGGCAAAATATTATTTTTTCTATGAGATTTGAATCCCTTCATATTTGAAAACCACTCCTCTAAGGCACTGTTGTACCTTTGTGGTCTGTTCATTACACAGACTACTGGCCAGTCATTCCTGCTTCTCTTTAGGACACAAAGAGGAAAGGTTACTGCTCCTATGACAAAACGTATCCCTCAAGTTACCTTATTTTCTAACACCTCAGTCGCCCAACCCTAGAGACTCGTCAGAGATCATCTGGCGACCACTGGTTGCCATGTAAAAATGTGTGTTTCCTGACTGGCTTCAAATGGGCTCCGGAAGTCGTTTGTTTGAAACTGATGTAGTGCTTTGGTTACTAGCAGGTCTCTAAAAAACACTTGATAACTCCTCTTTGAGCAGTTGTGAAATTGTGAAGAGTGTGACAGAAACCAGAAACTGGTAGTGTTCACCTTCACAGTAAAAACTTTGCCTTACCATTGCAACCAATACATTTAAACGATGCAGCTTTTACTCTGAAAGGAATCTTCTGTGTTTACGGTTTTAGTGCCCTTACTCGGAAACTAAATGGAAAGTGTTTACAGAGAATTTTCCATGGAAACTACAGTCAACCGTAGCGATGGGAATTGGATCCAGTACTAACGATTCCTTGGAATCACTAGTCTGCCTGCCTATCGATCCTGTTTATTGGTTCTTGCACTGTCACTATGATCAGCTGATTTCAGTTCATGTGTCAGACTGGCTCTGCCATCACTACAGAAACTAAACTGGTCATGTTGGAGCTTCCACAGCATGTCTTATCCTGTCTTCCTTCTCTCACCCCACCTGGTCGCAACAGATGCCCACCCTCCCTGAGCCTGGTTCTGCCGGAAGTTTCTTCCTGTTGAAAGGGAGTTTTTCCTTCCCACTGTCGCCAAAGTGCTTACTCATAGGGGGTCATATGATTGTTGGGCTTTTCTCTGTATTATTATAGGGTCTGCCTTACATTAATAAGAGCATTGAGGCGACTGTTGTTGTGATTTGGTGCTGAGTAAATAAAACTGAATTGAATTGAACAAGTATTGCACACCAGAGTGACCTTAGAACCGACTGACTGATCATTAATGTTTAGCCCATGTTAGTGAAAAATTTGATGAGAGATATTTTCCTTTGATCTGTGTTTATAAGAACCAAGAACTTACCTTTGATTCAATGCTGTAAACCAGTAAAACAATAAGCTTCCAAAGTGCTTTATGTGATGCTTTGATTGTGTCTGGTTACTGCCAGAAACTTGGTTGTTGGTTTCCAGAGAAACAGTAAAGCACCATGAAGACTGTGTGACCTGCGGTGTTGATTTTGGCATGAGTAATGAACACTAGAGGGAGCCAGCTCTGCATTAATGATGAGCTGTCACACGTTGCATGCCAGGAGTGTAAAGTGCATTTACACAGCTATCATAGCTGGACTGGCCATCGGGCATACCGGGCATCTGCCCGGTGGGTCGCTGGCGATTTTTTGTTTTTATGGGCCGATGGATTTTTATTTTTATTTTAGGAAGGGTATATATAATGAAAGGTGTTGGATTGGCCAATTGGAAATGATCGACTCTGGGCTGGACCAATTACAGCCGAGGAGGCCAGATGCACCCTCCCCCTTGTTTAGCAATCACGTGATTTTCACGCATTGCATGCCGGGAACTCGTGGCAAAACAATCCAAGTACCTGTGAAGGTTCTGTCATCCAGGTCATCGTAGTCAAAGGAGCTTGCAAAGAAAAGCATCTGGACTTCTTTAAGTTACTTGAAGACGTTTCACCTCTCATCTGAGAAGCTTCTTCAGTTCTAAGGTCAAATGGTGGAGAGTCCCAGATATAAACCTAGTGGGAGTTTCCCCCCACAGAGGGACAAAAGGACCCCCTGATGATCCTCTAATCGCCTGAGCCAAGGTGTGAAACTGGGTGTGGGTCCCAATCAGCCAGAGTTTCGGGTGTGTTCATTGTGAAACCTGGCCCCACCTTATCATGCGAATTCCTGAGGTCAGATGGCCCAGGATGTGAGTGGGCGTTAAGGTGTCTGGGAAGGGATCTCAAAACTGGATTATAGATGGCAGAGAGTTGGTGTCGTAAACCCCCGCCTCTGTTCAAAGATGGTCGCTCACAGTGGACATAGATGGCTTCTTTCACTCCTCTTTCAAACCATCTGTCCTCTCTGTCCAAAATGTGAACATTGGCATCCTCGAAAGAGTGACCTTTATCCTTAAGATGCAGATGGACTGCTGAGTCTTGTCCTGTGGAGGTGGCTCTTCTATGTTGTGCCATGCGCCTGTGAAGTGTCTGTGAAGTGGCAAGCTCCTTTGAATCCAAGTACCGCATCAAATGCAAACATTTGAGGCACCGCAAAATGTTCATTCTCCGGTTCCAATACCTTCTTGTTTTTTCTTTGCCGCACAAAAAAATAATGTACAAAACAAAAGGAGAACAATGCCGGTCCGTACAAAGACAGACTCAACGAAAAGACAAAGAAAAGATACAAGGAAAAAATCAAAGGAGTGAAAGGTTTAGACCCTTACGAGCACACAGAGTGGACAAAAGACGTTAGCGTGCTGCCCAACTTTCACCACGCTCATATTTATAATCATACGGTTCTTGGAGTGAGTGCATACACTCGTGAAGTTTAGTAACTTCAGGTCACTGCAACAAGCCCAGGTACAGTTTACCGACGGACAGGTGCAGGACCTTGAAATGCACCGTGTAGAACGAAAGACCATCGTACGAACAAAGGTAAGTTTACCAGTCTCACAAATCGTCGTCATAAATACACATTCGTTAACCGTTTATTAATATAACCTTTGAGCTTAACGGTAATTAATTAGCAGTGGAAATAATATCTGGTAGCATAACAGAAATGTAGCAGTGACAATAATATTGTATGTTGTAATCGCACTGGACAATTGGTGATACAAAGCAACTGTTTTATCCTGTGAATAAAAGTATATGTTTTTGTCAATGTACCATGGTAATAACAGAAGCGAAACGCAATATTGTGTCAGGACAATTCACTATTTATGCACAATAAACAAAGGAGCGACAAGGTAAGAGGACGGAAGGGAGAGGTAAGTGACGGACAAGGTAAGCGACTCATGTTGTAACTGACGTCAGACGCCGGAGATTTTGGCGGAAAATTAAAGCAAATGGTAGTTTAGATTTGAACAAATTCATTTAAGCTTCAGTATTACCAAATACACTTATCAACTGTCTTATAACTAACAATATTTGTGTAAATAATCTCCAACACCCTGGAGAACAACGGGGAGAGTTTAGAGACTCTCCAAGATTATATTGATCAGTGCTTTCAGGATCTCGTGATGAAGAAGACCCAGTGTGCAGCTTCCCCGGCCAAACCTGAGACGCCGTCGTCGAAAAGACAACGCCCGGCAGATTCCCCCGGCTCAACATCGCCAGCC